TATAAAAAAAAGTTCGTTCGAGGGCGTCTGCGTATAGATCTCCGTGGCGCAAGACCTCTCCCGACGGGGCGGGCGCAGCAAGGACCATCGAGGTGCACTCGAGGCCACCCTGCGGACAAAAAACACGCGCACGTCACCCGAACATCTGCGCGGGCACGGGACGTCCGAGCGATGGCGAGGTGCGGAGCCGGGGGTGATCGGCGTCTTCTGGCCAGTCCGCATCCGCAGCGGGCCACGGTGTCTCAGCCCTGCCGGCCCGCCCCCCCAGGTGCAGGCCTCCTAGACAGGGTCCCTAGTGGGGCTGGGAGGATCGCGCCGCATCGCCGATGCATCGCCGATGCGGCTCGACGTGGAGCCGGATCTTCTCCGCGCTGGCGTCGTCGATACACCGCCGACGTCGCCGATGCATCGTCGATATTTCGGTGATGCATCGGCAATGCGGCGCGATCCTTCGACCCCATGCACTCGGACCTTCGATCTGGAAGACCTCCTAGGGGTGGGGCCAGGTCCCGCGAAGCCCGCGGGGAGCACAGCACATGTCTGTTTTCCTACCTGGGGGGGAGTACACGCTGGTCGTTGAAAGCAGGAATTCTGGATTCCCAAACCCACTACTTCAAGCGCCCTCCTACTAATCGATAAGCGTCTGTTGTGTTTTTTGTTTTTCTCCGGGAGGACCTGAACCCAATCTATTTGTTCCGTCTTCCTACTTTCATGTTTTCACCCCTTCCTTCCGACTGGCGAGTCAGTCGAAACGGCCAGTGTGACCAGAGCTGTTCCATGGGAGATAGGAGCAGGTTCACAACGATGCCCAGGGTACCTCGTTCCAGAGCGTTCCTGCACGCCCTCGGCGTGTCCCGGAGCGCTCTGGCACGGCCGCACGGCCGCGGCGCCGGGGACATACTTCTTCCAGACCTGTCTGTCTTCAGAGGTTGCCCGTTATGGTGCATCCTCATCCTGTTTTCGTCTCAGGGGCGATGACCGACAGCAGCATCTGCGGTCAACCCGAAAGATGAGCGACTTCCCAGGGCTACACTCCAGCCGGGCCTGTCGAGAGCCGTCGAAGCACAATCGGGGGGCGACTCCCAGCTCCGGTCGACTCCGTGCGCCCTCCTCCGCGCTGCGGCAGCCAGGCCTCCCGCCACGGAGGCGCCCCCCCCGCCGCTGCGGCGGCGGGGCCTCGCCCCGCCGCGGCGCCCCGTTGGGCGCTGCGGGAGCGGCGCGCGGAGACCCCCCCCCCTCCTTGTCGGGCAGGGCCGTGCAGCGGGCCCGGGAGCCGGCCGCGACGGAGGAGGTCCCGGCGGGGGCCCCCGCGCGCTCCTGCTCCCGCTCCTCCTCCCCCTCCTCCTCCTCCTCCTCCTCCTCTTCCCCCTCCTCCTCCTCCTCCTCCTCTTCCTCTTCCTCCTCCCGTTCTCCTGCTCCTCGTCCTGTTTCCTCCTCCTCGTCCTCCTCGTCCTCCTCCTCCTCCTCTTCCTCCTCCCGTCCTCCTCTTTCTCCTCCTCCTGCTCCCCCTCCTCCTTCTCCTCCTCCTTCGCCTCCTTCGCCTTCTCCTCCTCCTGCCCCTGCTCCTGCTCCTCCTCCTCCTCGTCCTCTTGCGCTCCATCAGGCCCTCCGCTGCCGCTCTGCGGGTCCGCCCCCCCAGGTTGGGGCAGGTCACTCGGCATCGCTCGGACGTGTGCGCCCTCTCCCGGCGAGGACCATCGAGGAGCTTCCTGGGCCGTCGATCCAACAACAAGACATGCACGAGATCGAGAAATGCACGGGAAAATGAGGGTCCGAGCGAGGCCGAAGAACGGAGCTGGGGGTGATCGGCGTCGTCTGGCCGGTCCGCATCCCGTGCCGGGAGCTCTGCCAGCCCGCCCCCTTGGCATCGCTCGGACGCGAACGCTCTGTCACGGCGAGGACCACCGAGGAGCATACGGTGTCGTCGAGCCAAAAGCACGAGATCGAGAACTGCACGTGGAGTGGACGTCCGAGCGATGGCGAGGTGCGGACCATCGAGGTGCACTCGAGGCCACCCTGCGGACAAAAAACACACCCGCGTCACCCGAACATCTGCGCGGGCACGGGACGTCCGAGCGATGGCGAGGTGCGGAGCCGGGGGTGATCAGCGTCGTCAGGCTGGTCCGCATCCCGAACGGGCCACGCTGTCTAAGCCCTGCCAGCCCGCCCCTTGGGCATCGCTCGGACGTGTGCGTTCTGTAGTAGCGAGGACCATCGAGGAGCATCCGGGGTCATCGAGCCAAAAAGCACGCGCGAGATTGAAGCATGCACGGGGAATGGACGTCCGAGCAATGGCGAGGTGCGGAGCCAGGGGTGATCAGCGTCGTTTTTGGCCAGGCCGCATCCTTAACGGGCCACGGTGTCTCAGCTCTGCCAGCTTGGAATCCACTGCCCCTCTGTTATGAGGCCGTTGTATAGGAGAGGGAACAGAGGACAGTGTGTTTACACAGCTTTGCTTCGAAGAAAGCGCGCGCACCCGAATCGCAGACATATGGCTATATGCGGACCCGGTTGGAATCCACTGCCCCTCTGTTATGAGGCCGTTGTATAGGAGGTGGAACAGAGGACAGAGTGTTTACACAGTTTTGAGGAATTAGTGAATTCAGTATGGGTCTGGCTTGAAGTGCCTCGAAGAGAGCGCGCGCACCCGAATCGCAGACATGTGGCTATATGCGGGCCCAGGACACTTTGCTTCCCGTCGTCGTCCTCGCCCTTGCTCCGTTCCCCTTCCTTTCCTCCCTCCCCCGGATGGTGTCGAAAGCGTCCGCGGCTCGGGCGGGGGAGAGCCCCTTCCCACCTCCCTCATTATTCCTCGTTCCTCTTTGCCTCCCTGCTCCACCATCCGTCGTCCTGCGTCGCCCACCCTCATTGTTCGAAAAGTGAAGTCCCTGGCGCCGCGTGCCCGCGTCAACGGTACATGCTTTTTCGATGTCCCAGCACAGCGGCGCAACCAAACAGAGGGGATTGCCAATGCGAGATTTCGGGGCGCACCCAAAATGCGGGCGGCACGGCCGCCGAACACAGTCGCATCGCTAACGTGTAAATTATAGGTGCCTGCGGCGAGGTCCGCCCCCATTGCCAAAGCTCTGATCTATATGGCGACGCGTGGAACTTTGACTGTTAAGAGGTCCTTGACATGTGACATCTCTCGTGTTTTCGGATTGCTGCGCGGCATTCTTTGGGGTCCTTCGAGGCCTTTTGGGACGTCTTCGGGCCGTTGGGGGCCGCTTCGGCGCCGCGTTGCACCGCGGCCGCCCTGGGCCAGGGAAACGTGTATTTGCGGCTCTCTCGGGGGCGCCCTGGGCCGGGGAAGTGTGTATTTGCATCCCCCCCCCAGCTGGGCATGTCGACCTCGGTTCTGGGTTGGCAAAGTCGGGGCGCCCTCGAGGTGGCGAGCGTTCACCTTTTCGAAATACACAGATCAAGGTGTGATCTGTGTACACAGTTTGTGTCTTCAACTGTGTATTTTCGTGTGTGGGCCCGCTGTTTACACAGATCGTGGTGTGATCTGTGTACACAGATCTCGTTCCCATCTGTGTATTTGGAGTGTGCCCCTCGCGGGTGGTGTTGAATGGGCGGGAACTTTCGCGTTTCTCTTCCGGCTGGTCCAGGGGCGGCGTCGTGCGCGGTCGAAATGCACAGTTCGTGTCTCCAACTGTGCATTTGTTGCGCGCCTCTCGCTGGAGTGGTCACTGGGCGGGAGTTTCCGCGGGTCTCCCGGCTGGTCCAGGAGGGGGCCGTGGTCTGGGCATGCAAAGGCGCGGGGGGGTGGGGATGGTGGGCTGTGGGAAGGAAGGGGTTCGATAGGAGGGGTGGCCGAGGGGCCAAGGATGAACGGGGCTGGACGAGAGCGGAGGAAGAGAGCCCAGGAGGATTTGCATCATCGGCGTCAGCATCGCGAGGGCGAGGGAGGTGGGGGAGGGCAGAAGTTGGGGGCATGATGTGCACTAGGGCGTAGAGGATGGGAGGAGGGCAGGCACGTGGACGATGGGGGAACGAATCCGGCGCAGGAGGACGACGAGGAACGACGTGAATTGACACATGGGGGGGGGCAGTGTAGATGAAGGGCATGATGAGGACCGGGGCAATCGGAGGGGCATGAGGAGGGTGGGGCCGCAGCGAAGGGATATTTGGAAAAGGTGGGGGATGGGGCATGAGTTCGAGGCGGGCGCCAGCTAACGATTAGCTGAACAGTGTTTTGCGTGTCCGCGCACCCCCAGAGCACAGTGACTGGTTGCAGAACTTCATGATCTGGGTAAACGTGCGCTTCGTGCTTCCAGGCCAAAGGCTCGAGTCCGCGACGCCCGTTGGCGTCGCGATGATGCCGCCCCGATCTGCCAGACCGCATATGCACAGATACGCAGAATATGTGTTGCAACGTTTGTTGCATGACCCTCTCTATATTAGCAGACCCACGTTGGAACCCAAGGACCCGGGACACTTTGCTTCCCGTCGTCGTCCTCGCCCTTGCTCCGTTCCCATTCCTTTCTTCCCTCCCTTGGATGGTGTCGAAAGCGTCCGCGGCTCGGGCGGGGGAGCGCCCCTTCCCACCACCATCATTATTCCTCGTTCCTCTTTGCCTCCCTGCTCCACCTTCCGTCGTCCTACCTCGTCCACCCTCCTTGTTCGGAATGCTTCAGCGGTGAATGCTTTTTCGATACCCGGGCGCAGCGGCGCAACCAAACAGAGGGGATTGCCAATGCGAGAGTTCGGGGCGCACCCAAAAATGCGGGCGGCACGGCCGCCGAGCACAGTCGCATCGCTAACATGTAAATTATAGGTGCTTGCGGCACGGTCCGCCCCCCTGCCAGAGCAGTGGTCTATATTGCGACGCGTGGAGCTTTGACTGTTAAGAGGTCCATGCCATGTGACATCTCTCGTGTTTTCGGATTGCTGTGCGGCATTTTTTGGGGTCCTTCGAGGCCTTTGGGGGCGTCTTCGGGCTGTTGGGGGCCGCTTTGGCGCCGCGTTACACCGCGGCCGCCCTGGGCCAGGGAAGCGTGTATTTGCAGCTCTCTCGGGGGCGCCCTGGGCCGGGGACGTGTGCATCCGCATTCCCCCCCAGCTGGGCATGTCGACCTCAGTTCTGGGTTGGCAAAGTCGGGGCGCCCTCGAAGTGGCGTGCGTTTACCTTTTCGAAATACACAGATCAAGGTGTGATCTGTGTACACAGTTTGTGTCTTCAACTGTGTATTTTCGTGTGTGGGCCCGCTGTTTTTTTTACAGATCTTGGTGTGATTTGTGTACACAGATGTCGTTCCCATCTGTGTATTTGGAGTGTGCCCCTCGCGGGTGGTGTTCAATGGGCGGGAACTGTCGCGTTTTTCTTCCGGCTGGTCCAGGGGGGCGTCGTGCGCGGTCGAAATACACACTTCGTGTCTCCAACTGTGCATTTGTTGCGCGCCGTTCGCTGGAGTGGTCACTGGGCGGGAGTTTCGGCGAGTCTCCTGGCTGGTCCAGGACGGGGCCGTGGTCTGGGCATGCATAGGCGCGGGGGGTGGGGGATGGTGGGCTGTGGGAAGGAAGGGGTTCGGTAGGAGGGGTGGCCGAGGGGCCAAGGATGAACGGGACTGGACGAGAGCGGAGGAAATGATCCCACGAGGATTTGCATCATCGGTGTCAGCATCACGAGGGCAAAGGCGGTGGGGGGGGCAGAAGTTGGGGGCATGATGTGCACTAGGGCGTAGAGGATGGGAGGAGGGCAGGCATGTGGACGATGGGGGAACGAATCCGGCGCAGGAGGACGACGAAGAACGACGTGAATTGGCACAAGGGGGGGGGGGGGCAATGTGGATGAAGGGCATGATGAGGACCGGGGCAATCGGAGGGGCATGAGGTGGGCGGGGCCACAACGAAGGCATATTTGGAAGAGGCGGGGGATGGGGCATGAGTTCGGGGCGGGCGCCAGCTAACGATTCGCTGAGCAGAGTTTTGCGTGTCCGTGCACCCCCAGAGCGCAGTGACTGGTTGCAGAACTTCATGATCCGGGTAATCGTGCGCTTCGTGCTTCCAGGCCAAAGGCTCGAGTCCGTGACGCCCTTCGGCGTCGCGATGATGCCTCCTCGATTTGCGAGACCGCATATGCACAGATACGCAGAATATGTGTTGCAACGTTTGTTTCATCGGGGATGCATCGGCTGTGTGGCGCGATCCTTCGACCCCATGCACCCGGAGCTCTTATCTGGGAGACCTCCTCGAGGGGCGGGGCCAGGTCCCGCAGAGCCCGATGGGAGCACAGCACATGTCTTCCTACCTGGGGGGGGCGAGTACACGCTGGTTGTTGAAACTAGGTATTTCTGGATTTCCAAAACCCAGTGTGCTTCAAACGCCCACCTACTTCAAGAATCGACAAGCGTCTGTTGTGTTATGTTTTTCTCTGCACGCTCTCGGCGTGTCCGGGAGCGCTCTTGCACGGACGCACGGCCGCGGCACCGGGGACATATTCCGTTATGGTGCATTCTCATCTTGTTTTCGTCTCAGGGACGATGACCGACAGCAAATGCTACGGTCAACCCGAAGGATGGGCGATTTTCCAAGGCTACCGTTGCATCCTCCTCTTTCGGCCCATCCTCGGCCGCTTTCGCTGGCCGCGCACCGCCGCAAAGTGTCGACATGGCCTTCCAAGGCCCCTGCATTTTTCCCGCGCGTCCTTATTATACGGGTTGAGTGTATCTATAACTAGCAGGACTCCTTGTTTGTGTGACCGCGGATATTGTTATTTTGGGACAAGGCGGTACCTACCCGAACGTGGCGGCTGCTGGTTTCGAGCAGCGTATGCTGTATCGTACCATTTTCCCATACATGTTTCGGGCGTGCCAGTCGAGGGGGGGGGCACCGCTGCCCGAAGTCGGCGTCGTGGTCGTCCTCGGCGTGGTCGTCGGCGTCGTGGTCGTCGACATTGTTATCGTCGCCGTGGGCGCCGCCATCGCCGAGGCCAGGAATGAAGATGAGGAGGGCGCCGCCGAGGAAAACTGGAGAGGGGGGGCGGGGGCGGAAGGACAGTAGAGGCAGGATGAGGGTGGAGGGGGGAGAGGCGGAACGGAGGGGAAGACACGTGAGTAGCAGCATTGAGTTCTATACGCGTAAACGTTCGCAGACTCGTGCGTGTTTCTTAGGCCAGCGCCTCGGGCGCTGCGGCCCACATGAAAATTGTTGGATGCCCGCACGGAGTTCTCGCGTCGGCGCTGGATCCCCCCCTGCGGGGGGTCCAGAGCCGCCCCTAGAAGTCTGTGCGGGTCACCGGAAGTTTATGTGCTGTGTAGTTGTTTGCTTGTCTGGGAAGGCCGCCGAAGGCGATGTGCGGCCTGGAGTCAGTGGTCGAATGGCAGAGCCTGCGCATGGGCTTCTGGGCCAGGCTTGGACCGGCTTTGGGCCGCCTTGGGCAGGCCGTCGTGGGCCACCTCCTGGCGCAGCCTGCGCCGTGAGAAGGCAGCGGGCCCCGGGGGAAACGGGTCCCGAGGTACCTCCCCTGGGTCCTCCCTGGGTCCTCCCCTGTTCTTG